CGATCTTGGGCACAGAGGGCAGGGGTGGCACTTTGGGGGGGTCAGGGTGCCCGTTCCTACCTGCCGGGCGCGTCGTAGTGGATGGTGAGGGGCAAGTTGGAGGCCTCGGCGAAGCTCAGCAGCCCCTGGGGGGCAAAGAGGAGGTTGAAGGGGGGGTGAGGGGTGATCTGGGGCTGGTTTTTTTTTGGGGGGGGGGACAGGACAGGTAGGGGCTCACCCGAAACTCCTTGAGGCAGAAGGTGATGCGGGAGCCTGGGGCCACAGCCACTGTCTGGAACTCGTCCTCGGCCAGACACAGCTCTGTCACCATCATCTTGCTCCTCTCTGGGTGGGGAGAAGGTGGGTCAGGGGGGGCCGGGGAAAGGGCACCCCCCCCCAACCCCACAGGGCTCACCCGTCTCGTCCTCCACGTAGTTTTGGAGGCTGATCTTCCCCCTGGGGCCAGCCCCCAGTGTCACCTCAGCCAGCGTCTGGGGGAAGTGGACCACGGCCTCTGCCAGCACCCTGTGAGGACATGGAGGGTGGGACACACACACACACACACCTTTGGGGGTCAGCACCCCAAACCCCCCAGGGCCAACTGAGGTCCCTCATTCATCAATGATCTGGACAAAGGGATGGAATGTCCATGGTTGGGGGTGACCTGCTGGAGAGCAGCTCTGAGGAGAAAGACCTGGGAGTCCTGGGGGACAACAGGATGCCCAGGAGCCAGCAATGGGCCCTGGTGGCCAAGAAGGCCAATGGCATCCTGGGGGGCATCAAGAAGAGCATGGAGAACCTCAAGGGAGGTCATCCTGCCCCTCTGCTCTGCCCTGGGGAGGCCCCAGCTGGAGCACTGGGACCAGTTCTGGGCTCCCCAGTTCCAGAAGGACAGGGAACTGCTGGAGAGGGGACAGCAGAGGCTACAAAGATGATGAGGGGCCTGGAGCATCTCTCTGCTGAGGAGAGGCTGAGGGACTTGGGGCTTTTTAGTCTGGAGAAGAGAAGGCTGAGGGGGGATCTGATCAACACCTATAAATACTGAAAGGGTGGGTGTCAGGAGGATGGGGCCAGGCTTTTTTCAGTGGTGCCCAGGGACAGGACAGGAGGAAATGGGCACAAACTTGACCATAAGAAGTTTCACCTCAACATGAGGAGGAACTCCTTTATTGTGAGGGTGGCAGAGCCCTGGCAGAGGCTGCCCAGAGAGGTGGTGGAGTCTCCTTCTCTGGAGACATTCAAACCCCACCTGGACACGTTCCTGGGGGACCTGCTCTGGGTGGCCCTGCTTTGGCAGGGGGTTGGAGGAGCTGATCTCCAGAGGTCCCTTCCAACCCCAAATGATTCTATAATTCTATGATCCCTTTCAGTAGCCCCTTTGCCCATCCCGATGCCACCCCAGTATCCCCTTTGTGCGCCCCCCTGCCTGTACCAATGCCATCCACGTCCCCCTTGTCACCTCAGCCTGTACCTACTGTCCCCCCCCCTTCCCAGTGTCCCCTCTCACCGTGCTGGGGCGCGCAGGCTGCTGGCACAGCGCTGGGTGTCGAATACAGCCTGCAGCCTCTCGCACTCCTGGAAGGCCAGGTTGTGGGTCTTGGTGACACCTGGCAGGGACAGCAAGGGGCTCAGTGGGGCAGGGTGGCAGTGCCACACTGTGTGTGTGTGTCCCCCCACCATCACACTCACCGTACTTGCAGTGGAGCTGCACGACCAGGCGGCTGGCCCGGGGTTTGAGCAGGATGAGACATTTCTCTACCGTCTTCTCCAGGGAGGGCAGCGAGCGGAAAACACCCAGGAAGGACTGGGGGCAGGGATTTGGGGGGACATGGAGATTTGGGGGGGACAGTCACCCTGCCTGGCTCACCCCCCCATCCTCCTCGCCACCAAACCCTGGAGAAAATTTTGGGGATGGGGTCTCCCTCACCTTCATGAGGACTTTGCATCGGAAAAGCTGGCTGTCGGGGGGGGAGCCCCCCGCCTCGTAGCGCTGGAAGAAGAGGGGGGCGAAGAGGAAGGAGGCGAAGGCCGAGCGCGAGGAGTTGACGGCCCGCAGGGACAGCTTGGGGGGGGACAACACATACAGTGTGGGGGGGAGCTGGCACCGCCTGCCACCCCCCCCGCAGTGGGGATGGAGGGGGGCACAGATGGGCCCCCCCCCCCCCCCCCCCCCCCCCCTCCTCCTCTTCCTATCAACCAAGAGGAGGGTTCACTCTGAGAAAGAAAAGAGGGAAATCAAACCTGAAGAAAAGCCCTCAAAATGCCTAGCCTCCACGTGAGAAGGCTTGATTAGGCAATGGTCTTATTTGCTGAAGGCAGCCCCGGAGGAGAGAGTGATGGAAGAGTACAGAAGGAAATTGGCTAAAGCAGAGTAGGGATTGCCCAACTGGGCTATCCTGCCTGGCTGCCAGCGGATGGAACAACCAGTTTAGGAAGTCCTTCCACTGAGATCATGTACCGTTCTGTTCCCCCCG